CCCCCCCCCCCCCAGAAAAAAAGATTAGGAGAAAGTTTAACAAAAATAAAATAACGTCATTGAAAGAGATGCATAGTATAGTTAAAAAGAGAATGTGAGACATAGAAAAAACTTTAAGCTGAAAAATTAAAATTTTTTTCGACAAGAAATGAAAAAGGAATATATTTGTTTATGGATAGAGGAATAAATATGCTTGAGATGATAGGGTCCGTCCTTGTTGCTTTCTCCCACGGAGAATATATGCCATGGATTGTACAAATAATATTTCTGAGTTTATAAAAAAACACACAAATTAAACACCCCTAAAAAGCTTCTCTTGGTTCGAATAATATTTGATTATTAATTAACCATATACTAAAATATATTTCCTCTTTGAGGTTTCTATTATATATATTTTTCCCACTGAATTGATCTGCCCGGCCATAATTGGACTGAAAATGGCTTCCAGAAGGATTTTGAAAGAGCTTAGAGACATGCAAAGAGACCCTCCCACTTCATGCAGTGCAGGTTAATTATAATTATAGAGTATATAATTTTGTATTCATCATCAGTAGTTCTTATACGAAACGGTTCTTTTGACCTTTGGTTCTAGGCTCATAATATGGCCTGGGGTCTCAAGGTCAAAAGATTTCTGCCGATTCTTATATAACGTTTGTAACTTTTACCTAACTACTCTGGCATTATTTTCAAGCAAAACTTATAGTTATATTGAAAGATATTAACACAGATCATCGTTTTAAAATTTTACAAAAAAAAACAAGTAAAACAACCCAACATTGAATCCAACATACAAAGATCTACAAAAAATGCCAAGTAAAAGAAGTTTTTTGTAAAATTGCACGGAATCTCCCTGAATTTTAAAAATTACACCTGTGGTCCCTAAACTTTTAAAAGCATTGCGATAATGGTCTCTATGTGCCAGATTTGGTAGTACGTCAATCACACACTAGCTGATCAATATATTTATTGGAGCTTGATGAAGATGTCATTGATTGATGAAGAACTTGATCGTCCGCATGTGATATACGGAGTATGAGTTTAGATGAATCCACACTTGCACTGAACGAGCGTGTGATTAAGCACTGTCAAATCTGACATTGAGACACCATTGACGCAATGTTTTTAAAAGTCCGGGGACTATTGGTACAATTTTAAAGTTTAAGGGGGATCCGTGCAAGTTTTTAAAGAGTTCGAGGGTCAATGACGCAAAAAAAAAACTCTTTTATTTTGTATGAAAACAACCCAAGTTCAATTGAAGTTTTTCTATACAAGTTTGGGTACAGGACCTCTAGGTCAAGATATATATAATTGGCAAGCAACCATTATTGGTCCAAATGACAGTCCCTATGCTGGTGGTGTTTTCCAAGTGGCCATCAATTTCCCTCCAGATTACCCTTTTAAACCTCCCAAGGTAACTAATTTCAACTGTACTTAACACAATAATTAAGACCAGATGTACAAATTAGCTCATCAACTTTACATTGTGATAATTGTAAATTTAATTTCACACATTGGCAGGTTGCCTTTAGGACCAAAGTACTTCATCCAAACATAAACAACAATGGGAGCATCTGTTTGGACATCCTCAAGGATCAATGGAGTCCAGCCCTCACCATTTCCAAGGTACTCCGTAATCCCAATTAATTAGCACTAGACCTGGCAATTGAGTCAATCGGTTCAATTCCGGCTTGGTTTTGTTTGCGTTTGAGTTTAGTTTGGTTCTCTACATTCTTTTGTTCATATGTATACCGCTCGGGGTCTAATTGGTCCGGGTAAATACCAATTTGGGTAGATGTCATTTTGTTCGGTTATGATTTAGTTTGAGTCTGTTCAGTTCGGGTTTCACTCAATGTGTTTCGGGTCCGGTTCAGTCTGGGCCATCTCGGATTTCGGGTATACACCTGCTATTTATTTCTTCGAGTCACCTCGAGTTCGATTTCGATTTTATTCGAACTGAATACCTGGTTCAGATTCTATTTTGCAGATGTAATTATTACTCACTTACCTAAAAGTTGAAGCTCGTAATTTGATTTCATGTTACCCGGGGGTATTGCAGGTTTTACTTTCGATATGTTCACTGCTAACAGATCCAAATGCGGACGATCCTCTCGTCCCCGAAATAGCTCAAATGTACAGGATTGACAAGTCGAAGTATGAAGCCATGGCTCGTGGCTGGACCCAAAAATATGCCATGAATTGATCATCTAAAGAGCCTTTGGGGAGATTAAAGAAGGATCAAATAAGGTACAAAGTTGCAAGGAAAATGGGAGACAAGAACTCTAATAAAACTTGGTAATTGGATGTGAATAGGCTTTATGGTTTGTGTCCAATATTTTCAATAATGCATATGGTTGAATCTAAACTAGAATATTACGGAGTATGTGAGATAGAACTATAATGTTCTTACTATTACATCAATTACATGGAGTTTGTTTGCCACTAGATTCAAATTACATTTTCCTTTGAAGTGAAAGATGTTTGATTTCTAGAAATTCATCCCATAGTTTTGGTTATGAATAAATAAAACCTAAAAGAAAAAAAGATGAAATTCGATATTTTACTTTTTTGAACTCAAGATATTTTCATAAAAGAAGTTTGAAAAAGTTAATTTAGAATTTGAAATAATAACGAAAAGATAAGAATAAACTAAGAGCAAGACTCATTTAACACCAAGTAATGTGTCATATTGTGACACTTGGACATTTGAATGCTCTATTGTACTCCATTGGAACTTGACTAAGTCAAAAAAACAATGTTTAACTATGGCCTGTGGGCACCTTAACAAAGTCAAAAAAACAATGTTTTATTTTCTTCCCTATGAACCATAATATCTGCAGACCTTAAAAGACTAAAAGCATTGATTTCAGCAAAGATAGGCACAATGCACAAGAACCTGAACATTTTCTACCATAAAAAGCAGTAGAAACTACCCAAGGGATCTTCTGTCCCGAAAACATTACTCCGTCTTACTTTCATGTCCTTGGTATAAGCTGATCATTGTGCATAGAAAGCAAAAATTAGGATAAAAATATAGGTGCAAAATCCAGTGACACCAACTATGCATGTAATGAGAGATTCAACAACTGAGTTTTATTCTGATTGTATTCTTAAGCATATGGCCCAACAATGCATTCAGGAATTGAAGAGAACCATAACCATACAGATCAATGTACTGATGACATCCACTTGTGATATTATTTGAGGAGTTATATTAGAAAATAATGTAATACATGATGTGGAACACAACCAAGCAGAACATGAAAATGGCAAAGAACGATCTTTTATATTAAAATTATTGTTAAGCAGAACCATTTTGAAAATATGAGTAGATGGTGGGATTGTTAAAATCTTTTTTTGGAAAAAAAATGCAAATTTACATAATCATCATCATGCACGGATCCCAACTAAGTATTCATGCAAAGAAGCATAGTAGCAATGTTTCACACAGGATGTTCTTCCTATTGTAACCTTGATAAGAAGAAATAATGAGATGAAAAATCTAAAACCGTCATCATCATAGGTTATTTTCCATATGCATGGAAGATATCATGGGATGAAGATGACATATTTGCTAGTCATGTTTCATTACAAGATCGATATTGTACAATGGACCTGCATATCAAAGAACATGATCGAAATGGAACCATGAATACAATAACACGGGCCAAAAAAGTACAAACAATGAAATATGGTCACACTACACTGGTTTCCACTTTTCACATAACAAGTATCTTTCTTATTCTGGAGAATTTTCCCCACGAAAATCACCTGATGAATGGAATGTCACCATCTTCCCCAAATATACAAACTACATAAGCTGTGCACGGATCAACTTTTGGTTTAACAATTAGATTGAAATGTGACTAAGACACTAAGAAAATGGACATAAGGCTTACACCTTGGTCCACTTGAATGAGGCTTACCTCTTAACGGGTTTGAGGTGCTAATGCCCTAGCCGCGAGGCTTAAAGTTGCTGATTCTTTTTTAGCCTTAATCCTTGATTTTATAGAGAGAAAATTGAAGTGTTGCCTCTTTAGAATGAATTAGCTTCTAAAACATGTTGGTCTATCTCTTTAGCAAATGGCCCTTATCCGTATGTCTCTGTGATTTTGTTATTTTCATCTCTTTTTAATGTTTATCTTTTGTACTACAACCCATCTCTCTCTCTCTCTCTCTCTCTCTCTCTCTCTCTCACACACACACACACATCTCCGCTCCTCTCTTTCTCTTTTAAAGCAGCGTGTTAAGTGGCATAGATAAATAAAACAAGGCTCATGATACAAAAGAAGATATAAATGAGGGCGGAGTTGTAAACTTGAATAATAGTTTGGCATGTATTTTTTAACTAACCTTTTTGAAGCCTGCTATTAATTTAACTGGCACCCATCCTTGCTCATCCATTTCCTTCCGCAAGTACATATCTTTAACTAAATTTTCACTACTGCAAGGTAAGAAGCAAATAAGATGTTAGCACTTGCATCATGGAAACACTTACATAGAAAAAGAACAAACCAGTCACAATCATAAAAGAAACAGAAACGAGTAAATACTAAGGAACACACCTGAAATAATAATCTATCTGGTTAACTATTTTAGAAAGCAACATTGGATCTGGGACATGGTAAAACATTGGCACACCAGGTGGGGGAGAAGGCAGCATGGGCATTGCTGGTGAATCTGGGTGAGGCCCTGGTACATAATACATTGGAGGAGGAACTTCTGTAGAATTTGTATGAGTCAGTAAATGGCACACAAAACCTATTAAAGAACTGTAAATGCACCACAATTCACCTGGATAAACCATAGGAGAGCCCAAGGGACGCATAGGAATAAGTGGAGGAATAAAAGGAGGGGACGGAGGTGGGGCCCGTAGGAAGGGCCTAGCAGGCACCCTCAGTGGGTGCAACTGAGCATCTCTGCTGCCAAAACTTCTATTATGATTCCAATCCTGGTTTCCACGTTCTTGATGATAAGATCCATCCCCTCGAGGGCGTGGCCTACTGTTAACACCCTTTCTGGGTGATGTTCGCATGTAGTGCTGCTCATTCCCACCAAGTGATTGAGGCCCAAACCCTCCCATCTGCCCACCTTCCTTGTGCACATTATCTCTCGAATATGATTCCATACTAGATTTTCCAACACTATGAGGTGAACTCTCCACCACTGAACTATGCAACGGGTGGGGCTGAGTTATACTTCCATTAGCCAAAGCACTATTGCTTGAGTTCCCACCAGTACGCTTATTAGATCTGTGGCGACTGTGAACATGGTTTGCAGTTGAATTTGAAGTTGTGTTATGAGTATGAACATGCTTAGGAGAAGATGATGAAGCAATAGGAGTGCCCTGAAAACAAGTAAACATATAAAGCAAAAGTGAAAACCTTCTCCACAGAAAACACACACGCACACACACAAAGCATCATTTTTTTTAATAAATCAAAAGTTAAATGGCTATGTATGACAACAAACACCACTGAAGCTACAATGATAGATGGAAAACCTAAGCAACAGATAACCGAAAAGAAAATAAATATGAAAAGGGTATGGCATTGTTTCAGTTGCATGCAATGGGAAATAAGTGAAATAACCTTAGACAAAGAGGCTGGAGCATCCGAGGGAGATTTGAAGGAGTCATAAGAAGTAGATTTCAGTGAAGCCTTAGTGGACTCCGAGAGAGCAGGCCAAGACAAGGCCCCCATCACAGGACCAGCCTCCAAGGCGCCGTTTGGTTTGTTCCAAACAACCTTTTTTACTGCATTGCTGCCACCATCACTGCTCTCAGAACCATCTCTCTGAGATTCACAAGCAGCATCCGGCAAGAAAGGCAGAGACGAATTCCCAGTAGCCGCAAGAGCTGCTTTGGACGGGGAACAATCTTGGGGAACAATTCCGGTTGGCTCTTGAGAAACACTCGTAGAAGGAGAAACCGGGCATGGCGGATGAATCATATCAGAGGCTATCTGGGCGGTAGATGAGTTCATTATAAGAGTAGTAGGGTTAGATGATTAGGGTTTGCTTTCTCCTAAAGCTGCTGGAAAACTAAAAATTAGGGTATCCAAAAATCAGGACACGCCTTCAAGCACTAATGCCTGAAGAATTCGATCACCTTATAACCTAAATCAAAGAATAAAACAACAAATTCCAGGGGAGAAAAAGGAGAATCAAACCAATCAAGAAGGAAAACTATTGCTTTCCAGGGGTAAAAATATTCGCCGGAGTGATCTGATCGGGTTCCGTTCGGGAGCAAAAACAACTTGGATTCGAGCTTTTCAACACCGGCCGCAACGACAACAACTCCGTCGAGCCCACAGCACACCGACGAGAGAAAATCTTCCCTCCCGTATTTTGCTTTTCCGTCACTCCCCTATTATATCGCTATGAGCTCTCTCATTCCTAATGGGATTTGTGTTTATTTGCTTATTTTTTTCCTAATAGGATTTGGGTTTATTTGTTTTTTTTTTTGATTTTTTTGGTTAATATTTTTATATTTTGGTAGATTTTTTTGTTGATTTTTTTAAAAAACCATATTATAAGAACGTGCATTTAATGCTAATATATTTTGTTTTAAAATTTAGTGCTAAAATATCACACTTTATTACGTATATTTTTAAATATAAATATAGATACTAACGTTTAAAATGTCACATTAGACCACTTAAAAAAAATGAAAAGAAATATCAAGATGGATATAATAATTTCTATTTGAGTTCTAAAAAATAGAATATCTTTTGCACAATGTTAAAGTTTACTGAATGCAACGGGCTTCAGCGACGTTGAAAAATTACAGTGTATCATGTATAAAATAATTGATACCTCGATGAATTTATTATATACTATAGTTATTTTAACGGTGCATGATGTAAGAATAATTTTCACTTAGTATTCTAAACTCACTTCAGTATGTATTACATATACTTTATAAAATCTATTTTTAAATTTGGAAAAAATCTTTAGTTGATGTATTAGTGGTAAACAATTAGGAAGCTACTCACAAAATTAGAGAGTAGGATTATATTATTTCTATACAATTAGGAAGCTAACTTGCAAGATTACTCTCCTCGACTCAATAATATACTCCTTTTTATTTGTTCCAAATTTGCTTTTTATTTGATTTTTATTAAGAGAGTATATTGTATGCAAAATTACTAGCATTTTATTAGAAATGCATAAAGAAAATCTTTGTAAGGGGAGAAAAGTGGGAGGAAATTAAAATGAACAAAGCTGAGAAAAAAATATAAATGTAACAAAAAATAAAATGAACAAAGGGTGATGACAATAAAAAAAGTAAAACTGAATATGATCAATGAACAACTATGAGTGATAAAAAAAGAATGTGTAACCCTTATCTAAATTTCGAAAATCTTTTTTGAATGAAAATTTTCACTTGCCAGTAACATATTAGTTTTGTTTTTATTCAATTAAGATGTTTTTCCTTAGTAGTATTTTCATTAAATTTTTATCAATTATACAAACATAAAATACGTAAATTTTTATCATGGGCATACCCGAGCCGAACCCAAGACCTAATGAGTCTAAATCTAGGCTAAAACTTCTAAATCCATCGAGTAAATAAGTACGACTATACGGGTGAGGATTATTTTTTTAAAAGGTATGAGTATAGAAAACTATTGACTAGCCTGAACCCGACTCATTAGCACGCCTAGTCTCGCTGAAACTTTAACCTCGATAAACTTCCTTATTAATCTTGAAGAGTGTATTTCCTATTTCCTGCCACTCATGCCACCACGATACTATTTGCATTTGAGTTGTTACTAGTTGCGCCCCGCCTATCCAATCTTTTTACAACATTCATCGTTTTTACTTAAAAATTTATATACATTAAATAATAATATTTATCTATCAATAGAAATAGATAAATAATAATAATATAATAATAATAATAATAAAAATAATAAGTAAAAAATAAAACAAACATAATATATTCAAAATTAACAAAAATAAATAAAAAGAATAACATAAATCAAATATTAACTTATTGAAATTAAAAAAAATAAAATTGAAATTAAAGTTTAGTTGAAATTGAATAAATGAAAATGTAGAGTTTGAAATTGAAAAAATAAATAAAACTCAAGTGGCGCGGCGCTACAACGACGCCCGCCGCAAGCCGTCACTAGCACCAAGTCCGGCGTCTAGCCCGCACCATGGCGCGGGATGCTCCCCTGACATCCACAATGGAGGTCCGTTGCACGCGAAACCTTTTCGAGCGGCATTTTTTTTGTCTTCTATTGCAAATGCCCTTATGTCGTACTCCGTATTTTTTAGGCCGGAATAATGTCTTTAATGCTTGCTCATTGCCATCTTTTTATGTTGCTATTTTATTTCTTTCTTAGTGGTTTTCTTGCAACTCTTCACTTTTTTTATTAATTTCACAAAGTCTAATTGATTTGGGTTTTTAATAAATTACTCTCGTGTCCCTAAAATAACTCTAGTTTACTATTTATATTACTCGATCGAAATTAGTTTTAATTCATTTTGTCTAAATACTGATATAAAAATAAAACTTACGTACTTAAAAATTAATAAAAAAATCTACTTTGTACAAAATAAAGGTTATATTTTGGCGAGATGTGCTACACGAGGAAGGAGAATCCTCCTTGGATTTGGATTTTGTTGCTTTCATTGTTTGATTTGTTTCTTATATGCAAGTTTTAGAGTTTTGATAGAAATAGAAGTTTGATTCTTTATTAATTTCTCTTTTTATATAAGAGAAGTTTTTTTCTTGAGTACCACAGAATACACATAATTCTTTTCAAACGTCATCAAGAAAAAACTTATTTTTAAGTCAAGTCAATTGTATGACTACGACAAAATTGTTAATTATTTTCATCACAAGCATTGCATCCTAGCCTTCAATAGGGTTGTCATTACTTCCTTTTTATATTACAAAAATTAATGTATATTGTTTTATGTATTTTATGTAGTTTTTAAAAAAATTGAATCAAAGAATAACTTTGGTCATATATTGTAATAATGATTCAATATATTTTGTTACATTAGAATCATAATATTATATCAAGATCTCAAATTAGCACTTATAAAATGGCATTTTTCACTTTTTACTATTCTATATGATGATGTTAGATTTTGGAATTTTTATGTTCAGATAATAATTGTAAAACTTACACTAAAAAAAGCTCTTGTAACAAAAATGTTAATATGGTAACCTTACTCATCAAAGAATTGGTATTGTAAATTTACTCTTCAAAAAGCTTTTGACTTGTATTCAAATTGCTATTTGAAAAAGTTTGTGAAAAGAGCTTTTTGAAAGAAATAAAATGTTTACCGCCAAACAATTCTTTCAAAAGGCACTTTACCAAGCACTAATTAGCTTAATGGTAAAATATTGTTGTTTCAATGAACCAATTCAACTAAAAGATCATGTTTATGATTGAAATCTAATGAATATTTTTTAATGCATGTTAACATGTCACATGCACCTATGATTTGTCTACTTGATTGTTGTTTGTAAAGTTAATGAAGTTATGATATTATACCAAGGTACCAATTTATACAAAAGTTTGTTTAACACTATTAAGATTATTAGAACATAGTACTTGTTCAAATGTATTTTTTGACTTATTGAACAAAGAAGCCAACAACGTCTATGTTGGAATTCAAACATGTAAGCTCTGTTTGTTTGGATTGTAAAAACAAAATTGGATATTGGAAAAGATGAAAAAAAGTTGAAACTTGAAAAAAACTCAAATGAATAGGAAGAAACTAGAAGAAGTTGAAAAATATTGAAAAAAATAAAGTGTTAAAAAATACTCAATTAAATATTTACCCAAATAAATATGTAAGAAAGCTAATTTTGGATAAAAAAGAATTTTTCTTTGTTTGCACTTAGAGGATATGTTATAAATGTAAAATTTGCACCAAATAGGACTAAAAAATAATGACTTTCCTAATCTAGGACTTAAATGTTTTTATTCCCTAAATAGGACCTAGTAATGTCTTAGTGGGAAGAATAATGTCCAGTAATGATGAACATTTACTTGAATAATGACTAACTCATAATGACCAAAAGTCCTACATTAGGAAATAAAAACATATGGTCATATATTGGGAAAGTCATTATGTTTTAGTCCTATTCAAGTAAATTAATCTTATAAATTTAGACATATAATGTTATTGTTGAAATAAACAGGCAAGAGCTGAAAGAAATTGGAAAGTGTTCGAAACGAATTTTTCCAACCTAGATGAACAAACCCGTAATCTCTTATTTAAGGAGGGCAAATTCTTACGTGGTCATTAGATCTACACTCATTCAGAATAGCCATAGTGATGCGGCTGGGCAGACCTTTGACGCTTTCTCACTTCTATCGGTTAAAGACCTTGTTTGGGAATAACATTTTCGATTAGCGTTAGTGTTTTGGTTAAAATTTTTGTATTGTAAATTAATTTTGAAAATACTAATGCTAAGAGCATGTGCAATGGCAAGGAAGAGGCATGCCATGCACTGCCACATCAGCAGCTTCCACACATATCATGGCATGACAAGGCCAAAATGCCTTGGTTTGTGAGGCATGAGTGTGGCATTCCATCCTTCTTTTTTTATTTTTTTTAAATAAATTTTTTAAATTTTTTTATGAAAAAAAATGTACAAAAATGTGGAATAATTTTTTAATAAAATAAATAATAAAAATATTTTTTTTATGTTTAAAAAACATAAAAAATGTAAAAAAGTGATAAAAAATAATGACTTGCCATTGTAGAACTTGCCACTCCATTCACTTGCCACACGCTGACTGGACTATTTTTGATTGGTTAAAATGTTCCATGTCACCGTGTGGCATTCCATTTTTGCCTCACCATTGTTCATGCTCTAAAGACTACCGTCAGATAGTTTTTTCAAAATGCTAACGCCGATGTCAAACGGGACCAAAGTGTTAAACTTTTAACCTTTTTGAACACTGTTAACCTTTTAAACATTATAAAATATATATATATATTTAAAAACTACATAAAAAATTTTACAAAACAAGAGGTTGACATAACTAACGAAAATAGGTTAAAAAAAGCTAACGAAAATAAGTAAAAAAAAGTGATTAAATTTTGATTGTGTGAATAATAACTAGAAAGAAAGTGATTAATTACTCGATACGAAATTAGCCCGATATTTTTACATCGGAGCCTGCCCAAGATATCCATCACAAACCACCTAGCTCTATTCTCCTAATCCACCAAAAGATCAGTTGCCAAAACCATTAATTGTGGTTTTGCTTGCATGGATGAAATGTTGAAATCAAATCCAGAAATCATTAATGAAATGCATACCCTTCATACCATATAAACATCTTGATTACAGCCCATTACTACACATAGTCACTGACAATGCACTTTCAGTTTAACAAATAAACTTAGAACCCAGAATAGCATTCACAGAGAAGGGCAAAACCAACTGCATTGGGAAGTGTTCTTGTTGTCAAAGAGGCAAAAGCAGTACCGGGCAGGGAATGAACTCGGCAAGCAGGTTCGCGTCAACATGTTTGGAATGAATGGCGTCCATGCTCAGCACGACCAGGTCCAAGTTCATCTCGTCTGCAACTTCACCAATGATTGCTGTTGGCTTGCTCCCTTCCCCTAGTCTCTCCAGTAGTTTGAACTCCTCGTATCCGCCTATGTTCATACATTCATTACAAGTTAGAGGATAATCACAACAGCCTTTTGTTCTCCACCGGTAAGAGCTAGTGAAAGAAGTAAACACACACACACCTTCTGATAAATGCCAGCGAATGCTTGACAATTGGGTTTCGTGATGGGGCAGAGACGCTTTGTCCTTTTCATCAATAACTGCAAAACAACATTAAGCCCAAGACTGGGTTTAGGTTCTAGAATGGCTCCTAAACAACAATGCAAGACAGAACGACGAGAAGGGACGTGACATGCCCACAACTGTTATATCAGCTCCATATTTTTTTGCCAAAGCGGCAGTAGTAGCTGCAGCCTGTCAAAATAAGAGTAATGTATAAACCATAAGCTCCGAGAAAATCTTAACACTGCATGTGAGCTTTCGAAGCACAAAAACTCACATGGTTCCAAAACTTCATATAGTTGCAACAATATAAGGGAAAGAGAGACGTTGTAAACCTGCCGAGTACCCTCAGAGAGATAAGGGTTATGATCTGTGATCGGTAAAAGCAGATGCTTGAAATTAGTAAATGCATCTGCAGCAGAAGTGGCACCCTCTGATATTTGAGCCTTAACTTTTCCTGGAAGCAGTTGGCAGAGTAGACATTAATTGTAATCAAGTTAAGGATTTGTAGCACAGATCTGCATATGCAATTTAAGGGTTGATTCTTGGTTAAGTTCAATTTTTAGGGGATACACTGGTTTATCAAGATCAACAACAAGCCAAGTAAAATCCCTTAAAAAGTTGGGTATGTGAAGAGTGTGGGTATGCACACAACAGCTAACCCTACTCGAAAGTAGAGAGGTTGTTACAACTCACAAGAGACCCCCACTCAAACATAGAAGCAAAAACAAAGTATGAACAAAGTAAGACAACAAAGACAAGAAGCAGAGATATTCACACTAGCAACTAGACCCAAAACCTAGAAAACATACATGCACAAGCTACAGGCTAAGGAAAAAATGCATCAACATAAATTACAAACCAAGGCCCAAACGTCTACCTAACTATACTAATACCAAATCTCCTGACTTTCCAATCTAAGATCGTATTTTTGGTAAGACCTTGAAGCCGTAAGTCCCGTCTAACCACCTCGTCCCAACTCTTCAAAGTTCTAACTCTATTCCTTCTCACGAGTCACACCCACTACCACTACCGCAAGCCTGACCTCTGCTCTTATTTATCATTAGTCAAATTCATAAATACTCCCTCCGTCCAATGTATTTGTCCATTTTGCCTCTTTCGGTGAACAAATTTTGAACATAATTAAATAAGTTTTTGAAAGTTTTCTACAAAGTAAACCTAATGAAATCTTTTTCTATTATTAATACATAATGCATAAATCAAATGATCAAACTGGGATGGGGTTAGTACACATTACACTGTAAAATCAAATTTTGTTTAATTAAAGGCTAAAGCTTGACTCTTCTGGTTATGGTAGGCCAATTCCTTTAAATGTGCTGATCAATTAGATGTATAATATAATCCACTGCACACTAAACCCGTAACGTGTATATCGAGCATGGAAAAAAAAAGGAGATTCATGAACTAAGAACAGATTGGAGGATAAATAAATGCAAAGAAATTAGGGATACCTGATTGCCCAGTTCGCAGAAGTTCCTGAACAAACGAGGAATTGAGAGTCTTAAATGTAAGCAAGGACTTGGAATGAGAAGAAGAAGAAGAAGAAGAAGAAGAAGAGAAGGGCGGGGTAAGGATTGAAGTTCTTGAATGGAGTTTTGAAGGGTTGAATGCAGGAGAAACCGCAACTGAGTGGGGAGCAATTGCCATTGCCATGTGGGAAGAGATGAGCCACCAACACTCTCTCGATTTCTTGTGGATCAAGAAGATGGCGATGGATGAAGATGACTGACTACTCGTGTGACTCGAGAGTATATCGACGGATAAGGGCCATGGGGTGAGTCGGGTGACTACTTTTGCAGAAATTCAACACATGGTAACAATCACATTATTCATGTTACTTAATGTTTTTGTTTACAAAAGATAATTTACGTGGATTCACATAATAGTTTTATTTAAATCCTATTTTATTTTAAAACAATTTGGAGTTGGGGCAACATTATTGAAGGGGTTAGAGACTTAGAGCATGGGGATGGCGGGTCAGGGTGGGAGACGGTGGGGTGAGGGGGGTAAGAGTGAGGGCAAGGAGAGAACAAAAATTTTCTTTTGAAATCAAACCAGCCTTTAAACTAGGGCCAACAATTATACAAAACTAACAAAAGAGTGACAAATTATTTTGTGGTCCTTAAGCCAATGTTCATTATATGAATTTTAATACATTAAATAATGATATGTATTGAGTTTTGTAAGAATAAATAGACATTATTATAAGTCTACGATAGATATGTGAGTATCTTAACTTTTTACACGCAGACCTTAGGATCACGATAACACAACTCAGAGTAAAATTTTGTTCTTTTTATTTAGAAAAATTAACTTTTAACTTTTTCTAATTTTTTCACTTTTTTTGTTATTCAATTCATCCTACTTAATGTATTTTCATACGATGGTTATACAATATCATTGTATATCTAAATTTATAACATAGACAAAAATAATTTTTTTTATACATAAAATTAGTATTCTTACATATTTATTTGAGTGGAGTAATTTTTTAACATTTTATTTTTCTAACATTTTTGAACTATTTCCACTTTTATCTAACTCTTTCTAGTTTATTCTAAAATCTAATTTTAGAATTCCTAAGAAAAGAGTCTAGAATGTTACTGTTTATATTGGGCCAGTCCGCTTTAGAAGGCGTAAAAATAAGCCCAAAGGAAAAACGGAACCGCGGACCGCCAGCCGTCGGCGATATGGAAGACATGGTGCGGGAGAACGACGGCGTGACGGCGGGGGATCCGGCGGCCGTGCAAGAAATGACGACCGTCTCCGTCCACCACTTCGGAAACCCAGTCGAAGCCGAAGATGGGTTCTCCGTCACTATTATTGAGGCAAGTAACTATGAGTAAGCATCTCCCTCCCATCCCCCCTCGATTGTACGAAAAAATGGAATTTTTCAGAGAAGCTATAAACAGTCAATTTCTTATCATAAATTTATAACCTCTGGTTGTTTAATGTACAGAACATGAAAGAAGAGTACGGTCTGTTTGTGTGGCCCTGCAGTGTTATTCTGGCGGAGTACGTTTGGCAACAAAGATCTCGCTTTTCCGGCGCCGCCGTGGTGGAGGTCCGTAGAATTCGTGAATTTTCTTGTTTCATTTGGGGGTTGATTAGCTTCATTATTATTCTGGGATCTGCAGTTGGGTGCAGGAACATCGTTGCCTGGATTAGTTGCTGCAAAAGTTGGGGCAGATGTCACCCTAACAGACGATTCAAGCAGGCCTGAGGTGAATGGTGATTGATTTTTATTCATGGGTGATTGATTTCTTTGAAATGGAAGATTAAAAATGTAAACTTTTTTTAGTTCGAGGGGCAATACGAAAAGATGTGTTGCAGTAGAGGATTGCCAAACTTTTTTCATGGATTATGGGTTTTATTATTTAAGCAATGGATTGCAGCAGGGTTAGGCTTGATTCTTTGAGCTCTGAGAGGGATTTTAGAACCATAAAATCTGATTTTTCACTGTTCATGGATCTGCAGGTCATAGCTAATATGAGAAGGCAATGTGGCATAAATAATCTTGAATGCAAGGTAAATAGATTCTGCAAGATCCATATTCTCTGGTATTAGGAAATGTGTAGTGAAAAAGAGCATCCAAATAGACTGGTATTTGGCATTTTATTGTTGTGTCCTAGGTGATGGGTCTTACATGGGGACTGTGGGACTCAAATGTCTTTGATCTACACCCAGATATCATCCTTGGAGCTGATGTTCTGTATGACTCAAATGGTATATTTAAGCATTCTGTTTTAAGAAATTCATGAGTCCCCTCCTTTTGCTTTCTTGTTGAGTCCCCCAACTGAAGATGAGAATTTGATGTTGTTCGCCAAGCTTTCGACGATCTCTTTGCGACTGTGACATTTTTGCTTGAGAGTTCTCCCTCGTCTGTTTTTATCACTTCCTATCACAACAGAAGGTACACTCTCACCTTTCTTTTTTTTATTCCTTCAAAGTTTTGAATCAAAATGTGTTGCCTTTGGCACAGTTCCTAATTTCTCATCCCCTTTTGATGGCATGTGTGTGCAGTGGGCATCACCTGATTGAGTTCTTGATGGTGAAGTGGGGACTGAAGTGTGTGAAGCTTCTTGATGGATTCTCATTCATGCCACCACACAAAGCCTCTGGTTTGAGTGGTGATATCCAATTAGTTGAGATTGCTTTGGCCTCAAACCACACAACAGAATCGTAGAATGCTGTCTATATGGAGTCTACTCAACACCCACCCTTTTTTTCTTTGATTCCCAAGTCAAAAGATTCATCTTTATTTCATCAACATTTGGCTTAGTACATGTTTGGCATTGAAGTGATTGATTTCTTCTAAGTTCCATTGCTATCTATCTCTCCATTTGTTTTCTCATGTTCGCGTGTTGATTTTACAATGTCAATCTTGTAATAAGACATGCGTTATCACATCATTTTTTCCATGCAAAAGTTCTGTAACAGCTTTTGTGAAAGGGCAGCCTGCTTTTGGATCATTACAGTTATGACAGACTAATTGAAAATAGACCAAAGTTTCCAAACTACAACAAAAGAAACAAAAAAGAAAAGATTTTTGGCTTCTAAAATCAGCAGGAAATGTTTCCAGTGCACACATATATCTACAATCAACGATGGCATCTGCAAAACTGCAGAGAACAAGACTCTCCACCCAAACGGGACACTAGCATTGTGTTCAATAGATACAGGATCATCATGTCTATACAAGGAGGGCAAGAAACACCAGGCAACTGTAAGCCAGAGCTAAGGCTGGCATTTCACAGGCTGGGATTGCAAATGAACTTTGGGTAATGCCTGTCCTGCCATCCGATTGTAGGTCACCAGCATCCACGGCTGGAGGCACGCTGGTTGTATTTAAGGGCATGTGTACCTTCTCAGTGTCATAACCTACAAATTGATACAAAAAGGCATCTATAAAATTGTCTTTATTGATTCAGAATCATATACTGCAGAAGACGGTGATAAGAAAACTCACAATCAAACTTCTTCCACCCAAGAGTAACCTTTTCCCGATCAAACACAAACCGGTATCCAGTCATGAAATTTTCTGAGGTCACAAGAACCAAACACCATCAAACAAAGGCATGAACATAAGAAACAATGCTTGAATGGCTATGGGGATACTTACGTCCAATTATATTGTAATCTTGGCTCTTCAGAACACCAAGGCAATACACAAGTTGGCTCTGCAAATTATTATATGGGAGAAATCAGATATTGTGAAGAATAGATACACTAAGAAGTGTATTTGTACCTGAAGTGAGATGATAATTATGGGATCAAAGACAACAAGGCGGCCTCCTCCCTTCATAGTTAGGCTCATTGTAGGAATCAAACTAGTAGTTGAATTAGAGCTGTCAAAAACAATATGAAGAACATAAATTTTTCTCACAAAAGAGCTTATAAAAAATCAAAAACAAAATTACCCCCATGAGCTAACCTCATTTCATAACAATACTCGAAAGGGATCCTTTGATCAAATGCATATCTTCTATCCCTCGTTTGCGAGTCAAACTGAACAAAGATGAACCCAAAAAGTAAACTAAGAAATTAAAACAGCCGATTCAACTTCCATAGAAAAGGAAAAATAAAGATAAACTTATCATCATTAAGAATACAAATCATTACACTCTGAGAAAGCTTCGTGTAAGGCGGATCATCCAAATAGGTGAAGGAGGTTCCAGTATCAAAAAGTGAATCAAACTCATACTCGACGATATCAGTGCCAACACGAATCTGTGAAATGGTGATGTTGTACCTAGGGCTGCTTTCATGTGACAGTTAATACATTGAGTTAAAATAACAAGAGTATACTTAGTTAACTAGTAGTGGTACTAAAGGAAGTAACTTATGAGGTACATGATTACCACTTACTGCAACGGATTCAAGTTAAAAGGGGTTTCTTCCTGGTCAAGACTACCCTTATCGCCAAAGTCAATCCTTCCCACTCCGTCACGGCCAAAACACATGGAGAAAGAATTTGGCATGTACCCTTCTCGGGATAGGATACTAGGGACTGACACTTTCTCAAAACCAAGCCCGAATAACCCGTTTGGGGCTGCAACATCTAGGAACGAACCGGTTTGCACTTGCCCACACCTAAAATGTTCCACCTTAATCAGATGCGTAATGAATATTAAGTACTATCAACTACTAATTACAGCTTGATAGTTGTTAATCTCACCCAAAGACAACATATGCCTCAACAAACTCTTCCTCACTGTCATCTGTTTCCAGTTGCAGAACATCCTGCAGCAGAATTCCGGAAGTTGAAGTTTCTGAGGAGAGATACGAGACCGAATAAGGGCAATGGCTATATTCGCCAATGCAGTTGCTGCGATGAGAGCAATAGCTGTTGCTGCAGGTGACCTCCTTTCCAGTTGATGATCCATTCAAGTTGTAAATGCTTAGAGCAAAATCCTACATCATCATCATAACAAGGTCACAACACATAATCTGCAGAACTGTTTCTTGATCAAAAGAAAAAAGAAAGAAATGAAGGATAATGAAACATACGGAATCTGTAGATGTGCAATTGGAACAATCACAGGGTACCCAAAACAAATCGCTCCCAGTATCCAGAGCCACCATAAACTTCATACCCGGCGTCCCCAGAGTCACAGTTGTGTAATGCAAGCTACAATTTTTATCAATATTTGGAAACTCAATTTAAAAAAAGATGGGAATTTAAAAAAGAAAGTTAATTCAATTTCAAGAATTGAGGGGTCTTTACAATCCCAAAGAGCTGATCCGGAAAGTGGAATTCCCATCGGAGAAAGTGAGGCTTCTGCTGCTATCGGAGTCGTACAGTCTCCGGCCATGTAAGAACATATCATGGCTGGCCAGTTGTGTATAGTAATCAAGACTGCCCTTTGCCGGCCAACTGTAGACCTGTAAAGATTCGCCTGCGGCAGTTCTCTGGAGGGCCAATTTCTTGACGGGGTCGGAGAACCGGTGGTGGAGTTCGAAGGTGAAGATGCGGGCATGGGAGTGCTGGAATGAACAGGCCAAGAAGACTGGGATCAAGAAGAAAGCCAGAAAAGAAGCCATTTTTCTTGGTTTTCATCCAGTGAGAGAGTCCGCCGGGAAGATGACCATCAAGATTTTTCTTGGGGGTATTCTTGAATTAAATATGCGGAGACGAGTGAATGCAGTATTTGAAATTTGAAAGTGATTGCTTGTTTGTTTGTTAGATTTTGAGAAAGAATTCCGGCAGGAGATACGAAAGAAGCAAGTAAAATTTGGCGCTTTTGGCGGTTGATGAGAGCTCCTAGTAAGTAAGAACTCTATGAATCATCACTCATAACCTATGCAATTTGGCACTGCGTCCACTTTAACACTCCCACCCTCCCAAATTTCTTGCCAAAATTAATGATTTTCTTTAAATATTTGGTTCGAAGAGAAGTTTAAAAAAATACTAAAATTTTTTGGGTTTTGATTTTTGTATGTTCATTATTCACAAATTAAGCATAAATTGAATTAATACATGTTAGAGAAATGGAAATGGGCTTAATGTCTTCTGCGCCAAAATGATGTTTAATGTCGTTATGACGTTAACCACGCCCCCTTCCCCGTTATACAGGCGCCGTTTACCATGCGTTAAATGTTTAACGCAGATGAAAATGAAGAAATAGTCGTTGCCTCCCCCGAACGGTCCAAATTATGGTCATTGCCAATTTTTAAAAAAAATTTAAATTTTCAACCATAAATACCATCTCATTTAAAAAAAATACGCACGTAACATATTCTTATTCTCCCATCTTTCTCATATTTCATATCTTTCCCTCTTATTTTTAATATTTTATCATGAATTCATTTGGTCCTCCATCTAGTGCTTCGTCTGGTCTTGAGCTTAATGAGTACATTATGTGGCTTTACCAAACATACAAGAATAATCCAACTTTTTTCGAAACCTGAATTTAGGCGAAACTGCGGGACCTGAAGTCGGTTTCTGAAACTCAACGGGAATCAAATGCACCAAAAAAAGTGCACGCCAGAAGAGTCACAAGCTGCAATCGAGGACGGGAAAATCGGTGGCCGAGGCTGTACGGCCAATTCAAAGATGAACACCGGACGAGGAAGTTTTGTTGGCGTCCGTGTGGGTTGACGTCTTGGAACATACATACATACATATATACACACACACACACACATGTGTGTGTGTGTATATATATATATATATATATATATATATATATATATATATATATATATAACGCCATGATGCATATTTTTCTTGTAGTAGTGCATTTTCGGAACATTTAATGAATAGAGAAAGAGGAGCTCGAAATAATGAATATCCTTATATATATGAGTTGATTCAAGTGAGAATATCCTTACTACGAGAATATGATAGTGATACATTTTCGGAAAGTTCAATTTATTTACAAAATTCCATTGTGTTTTTTTCAAATTTTTCGAAACTTTTGATTTTTAACCGTCCTTAGATCTTAAATCTAATAGATCATATGCATTCTCATTTCTTTCACTATACATCATTCTCATTTGAACCAAAATATATTTATACACACATGGTTGGTGAGAAAATAGTGACGACAACAACAAATGAATGAATGATGCATTACTATTTACATGTTTAATTAGCACTAAATTGAAACTTATGAGAGGTGGAGCCAAACTTGTGAGAAAGCTTATTAGTTGGAGGTAGACGACAAGGGTGAATAAAATTGCATTTCATGATGAAGGAATCGGACATCGTGAATCAATGGGTTACCGGCCCGACCAGGTGGTGATGGGCACCCGCCACACAACAACGTCAACATTGCTGATGAATCTCTATCATCTCTTTTCTGCATATACCATTTTGATCATTTTTATTAATTAACACATGTGACACCATTTTATTGATTGGTATGGTTTGCTTTGTTGAGACTATTATATATCAACCAATGGATGGCATGATTAGCATTTGAAACTAACCTTTTGGTGTTCACTAATTATGTTTAAAACTTCACTTCTTTCTCCATCAATAATGCTCGTGTGCCTGACCAAATCAGATACATCATGTGAGTTGACATTTGTAACTTTCTGTGTCACAAATGTCACACACGAAAAACAAAACAGTAATGATAAACATACTACTGATGTCGTCGAAACGTCTCTTTCTATTATTAACGAGATTTATATCAAATCGATGATGTGTTTCAGAATAATTTACCTATGGGTGCTACAACAGACGATGGGGCAGAGGAATTCGGGGAGAGCGGAGACGAGACGCCGCGGTTTAGGGCAAATAGGGACCTCACCATTGCTTCCATGATGATGATTAAGCATGACTATTGTTTCATCAAATAGCCTCCTAATAATAGTATTATTGCATTATATTTCACTCTTTGAAAGAAGCAGTAGAGATGCATTTGAATTAA